AACTGTTTTTAAAAAGAACCTGCGAGTTGTTAAATTAATGGAGAATGAGCCAACCGAATAACGATTAAGCTGGAAAACTGGGGCGAGGAGCCACCCCAAGCAGGTGTTAGGAGGCTGTTCCCTAGGGAAGATGGGCTGAGGGGACTTCCTCGGTTGGAGTGGGCATTGCAGGCTACAGAAGGGGCAGCTGACCAACCGGACACCTTGGGGCTAGATTCCAAGCATCGCAGATCTAGGTCAGCCAGCAGACTCCATTATCAGCTGACAACCAGAGATGACAAAACAGTTTAGGGCAGGACCATTTTGAAAGCTGATGATTATAGCAAAAAGAATTTATCTTCATGCAGAGAAAAAGGCTTCGAGGAGACATGAACGATGAGGCAAAAATGGCCACAGGCCGCCAGTGCTGTAGAGAAAGGAGCGGCTAGAATTAGCCGCTGACACCTGTTAACCAGGAAACTAACTCTCTCTTTTTCTTTCTTTTTCAGACTATAGCCTGAGTTTTCCCTTGGTGAGTACAAAATTTTTAAAAATTGTTTCTCATGTGTAGTCACCTAGCTAAAAAAATGTGTGTGGTTTAATTGCTAGAGAGACATTATCTTCTGGAGAAAGGCGGCCATGTGGTCAGCGTGTCGCATTTGAGTTTTATGCCTTAAATGTCTCGCATGGGCTCACATCACACTTCTCGTTACATCATTTTTTTTCTTTCTTTTTTTTTTTTTTTGCATTTAAAACCTGGCTCAGCCGTTCAGTATTCTGAACTGTATTGTCGAGAACACAATTTCCACATGCTTTCCTTCTACCGACTTCTCGCGTGGTGAGGGGCCTTGGCTTATCTCAAAGGCACACGTTCGGTGGCTGTAAGGGAACACAGGAGCACAGAGCCGCGCTCGAATTAATTGCTTCTCGAATGACCTGCGGTGGGGAGGGCTGCTGAAAAGGGGCTTTTCTGGATTGCAGTTTGGGTAAAAAAAAATTTTAAAAAGTGTCGTCATCACATGGTTTTATGCCTTTTGAGGTCCAGGCCACACACCCTGGTCTTAATGTCCTAGTATTTAGCAAAAAGAATGCCATTACCTTTTTGCGTTCTACTGACTCAGCTTATTTGGTGCCAAGTCCCTAAAGAGAGCGAGAGCTTTCGAAGTGGCGGCAGCGTGGGGGGTGGCGGCTGCGTGGGGGCAGGCAGCCCCTGGCCTGCCGTGCTGCTCATGCCTACCTTTAGTGAGGGGCCCAGGACGTGGGCAGCTGGAAGTTTTGTTTCTTAAACGCGTCGCCTTGTTTGAAATACTCGGACCCTGCTCTGAGTTATCCCACAGTCGATGCGTCAATCGTGTGGCCTTGCTCGCCCTCTCTTTTGGGGGTTGCCCTCGGTGGCACCGTTTTACCGGGATGTCCATGCTGCGGTTATTCCCGAGTGATCAAATGCACGTTTGTTACATGCACGGTCGCTCCCTGTCTCAAAGGAGTGTCCCATAGAGTCACCAGTGTATCGAGACAGGGACTAGGAGAGCTTCCCTTTGCTACCCGCTGACCCGACTGCGTTGTCCACATTCTCCATCACGTCGCCCTTGGACGTCGTCCGTTCTGAATGGCGTGATCTCCTCGGGCAAGTGTCAACCGTGGGATCAAAGAGAGGGGCCACTACTGGATGATATTAACGGAATAGAGACTTAGTGACAAGAGGTATACAGCCTCTCGTTGTGTCAGAATGCGGCCTGAGAGGTCCTGGCTCATTCGTATCTCTGTGGATGGACGTGCAACGTGCCCATCAAAAGCAGTGGACCCCGCCATGCTGGAATGAGATCTCTGAGGGTCAGCCCCCCAAGACGCGTCTCCTCCCACAGTACAAGGCACAGACTGTGGTTTGTTCCGAGGGTCTGGCTCAGCACCAGCCCTTCGGCACCCAGTCCGGCCTCCCAGCCGAGCCCAGGATTTCTGGCCTCTTGGGAGGTTGGCCCGCTGCCAGGAGAGGTGAGCAGCTCTCGCGGCGGTGATTCTGTGACCCACCTCCCTGCATTGTCTCAAAACCAGCAACAAACTGAGCGGTTCGTCCGCAGGCCAGCGGTCACTGAGCGTTTGTCTGCCAGCCGGCATCTCACCTCCGTCTCCACGGACACTTGGGAGCCAAAGCAGCTTTGGGTGGCATCTGCCTCTCCTTGGTCCCATCCTTGGCCTCTGTTTCAAGAGGAAAGTGAAGTTCTGCTGTAGGAAGCTGTGAGTTCTCAGCAGAAGTGTTTCTGGATTCAGGAATCTCTCTCTTCGAGATGAAGAAAGAATGCTGGGGGCACAAACCCCCTTCCTGGCTGCCCGATTCCCCGCCTTCGCTTGGAGCCTTCCCGCTGGGCCGCAGGGTGGGGCATCAGATTGGCCTTTTAGCCCATGGCATTTTCACTGCGTTAGCAATGAGACTTGTTCCAGAGCTTCAGGATTTCAACTAACAGAAAGATTTTATTGCTAGTTTGTGGAATTAGAAACTTGCTTTTGAGTCTGTTAGAGCTAAGTAAATAGCTCCTGCTGGGCAGGGCGGGAGAGATTAAGCTTCCTGAGGTTGGGGGTTGTCCCCAGTCCCCCCTAGCCACCGTCCACCCGCTGGCCAGCTGAGAGCAGGAGCCCAGCAGGTACCTGCCGAGGGAACATACAGACTGCGGGACGCTCCTTTTCTCTCATCTGCCAGTCACTTCCTAGGATTATCGTGCCATTTAAGCAAGACGACCCAAAGTCAGCACTTAATAAAATTGTTATTACAAACACCATCATGAAATTAGGGCAATCGTTTTTAACTTTTAAAGAAGGCATTAACTGGGTAGTGACGTATATGCCGGTACTATAACGGATATCAAAAGAGTTCCCTTTCCAACAATAAATGATGTTTCATTTAAAAAATGTTAAGATTTGACTTCCAAAAAAAAGAAAGAGTCAAATTTTTCCCCGGTTAAACTGGAATGAGGAGTGTTTTTAGCAGAGCCGCCATCCTGTTTTTCTCCCCGCCCCCTCCCCCTTTTTTAGTATTTAAAAGGAAACTTGGGACATGATACTATAGTTCGTATTGGTTATTGATCATCCAATATGACCAAAGTTTCTTCAAGAGGAGAATGTTTGTTGCAACCCGGTGGGTGTTAGTGGCACAGCATCTAAATAAAGCAACAGAATTTCGGAACGAAGAATTTCTAGAAGGCGCAGAGTTAGGGCTTAGATATCTCCTCCAGGCTCGTTGGTGTCTCGTGTTGTCATACCGGAGGGCATCCGCCAGCAAGTAAAATGAAATGATACGTAACTTGCCTAGTTCACCTCGGTTCATCGAAATACCAGAGGAATAAAAGCAAACCAAATTCAGCGCTCGTGTGAAGTAGCAGTGCGTTTAGTTTAGAAATGAACTTGGAGTGTTCATTCGCCAGCCTGGTCCTCCGTGGCAGTCTGCGCTTCCTCCTGTCAGTTTGAATACGTGTGATTTTCTTCCTTGGCATCGGTCTGAATGGTCATCATGGCGGGAAAAAATAAATAAATAACATGAAGGGGTAAAAGTGTACGTTCCGCCAGGGCCGCTGAATCCCCGCGAAGCGCCTTCTGCCCCCTCGGCTGGGCCGCGCTGTCCCTGTGGGGACAGGCACCCTGTCCTGTGCTGGTTCTGGACCCGCAGAAAGATGCTCACGGTGCACGATGCACAATGCATGCAGCACAGAAGCTTCCAAAACTCCCTACGAGATTCGAGTCCTGGGTCCCTCCTTTCTTTGCTCTGTTTCTGGGGTTTTATCAGCATCCGTGGATTCCCTGGCTTTCCTTTCTGAGCAAGAAGCGTTTCTCCCAAC